AAATCTGGGCTTTTACCCATAGTGCTGGATGAACAATATAAGAACTCTCCTTTGCCTGCTGTCAGAAGCTATTGCAAATGGGGAGAAGTGTCTGCCTGATGTGGTCCATCCCCCCATTAAGTTCCGAATCTCCCCAAGATTTATCACATCCTATGGACAGTATACAGCCTTAGTTAAGAATAATGGCTCCATGCACATTGGATGTGGGAACAAATTTTACATGGCTCTGGGTACTTTTAACATTTACTTCAGGCACTGCATTTCTCCTAGGTTTCCGTTATTCGTGAGTATCTACCAGATCTGCTACGAGGGGAAATCTGTCAAAGAGTTCATCACTTGTCTGCAGAATCATCCAGAACACATGTAAGGCACTGTGGCTCATCCTTCCAAGCATCCCCTCTACTCAAGGCTTCTGTCATCTTGAGCAGGATGAATAAAAGCAAGGCAAGAGACTCTGTAGCTAATGTGTATTGTCTTCACCCAAGACAATACAAAAATTGTTTTTGTAATTGCCCCCCTTGGGCATGAAGCCCCTTGATGCCATATTTCAGCATTAATTACAGGTGCCAGTCAGGTGGATGATGTAGCTTTGTGTAAATTTAATGTAAGGTGTCGTTTCAGAATCACAGTCCTCCGAATTCCCTCATAATGGATCAGCAGAAAGTATATTTCGTAAAAATGCTGAGATTCCTGTCTAGCCTTTTACTGAAAACCTGCCAAGAAAGGAAATTCTACATCTGTCTGTGGCAGTATATTTAATTGTTGAACTGCTCCATGCAATCTACGCATTTCCACTCTGGTGGCTGAAACTGGCAACAAAAATTATTTGCTGGGCTAGTTCAAACCAGTATGCGAAATTCAGTCCTCCCTTATCTACTTAGTCATCCCATTGCCATTTCACAGTACTACACACCACCAATGCTCCCTCTAAGCTGTGGAGTCTTGTGAGCAAACATTCTACTTTGTGAGCTACTGGCATGAAAGTTGTGAGTGAGCAATTTGGCTACTGCATAAATTAGTTGCTTTGGAGCCATCCTTCCTGAGCTAAGACAAAAATGTGTGGAGGCTAAAAAACTGTGAGTTAGCTCACACTAACTCAGCTTAGAGGGAATACTGCATACCACAACTCTTCAAGTTATAGAAACTCAACCAGGTCTCCAACCCAGCCTTCCTTGACTATCTCTTTCTTTCCTGCCAGTACTGCCTTCCTGCCCCATGTGGAGTTTTGAGACATTCCTACTTTCTCTACTGCCCATTTGTTCCTAATTTCTTCAACCACTGTTCACTATGAGTATTCCCACATGGGTTATTCACTCCAAGTTTGATGCTGTTCGAAAGTAGGTTTCTTTCCTGCCTTCCCACAGCATTGTGGTGCATTTGTGCAACTGCCAGCATTTCCCCAGCTTTTCTCCAGTACTTACCAAATCTGCGTTGCTCCAAAGGTTTTGGAAAGCTCACAGCAAGCCTCAGGTTGGCTACTGTATGGAAGGGAAAAGTTCTGATTTTCCTGGTTCCTCCCACATTTTCGGCACAACAGTCATTTCCTCTCCTTGTTACTGGCGCTTTTAAAATATTCTTTAAGACCAGCGTGCTGTAGCTGGGGCCATATTTGCTCACCCTGGTTCATTCTGCCGGCCCTCATTGCACTCTGAGGTTTCTGCAATTCAGGCACCAGCTACAAGTGTTTGCATAAACGATGCCTTAAGCAACATATGCCTTATTACCTGGCCTTTCTTATTTTCATCAGCTGTTAATAAATTCTTTGTCTAATCTGAACTAATATGGCACCCAAAGGCTTATGGTTATCTTGAAGCCGTAAGGGAGATGTCTTAATTGGATCCTCCAAGAGGGTTTTTGGGGGTGGGGTTAGACAATTGTCGTCTTCAGCCTTGCAGAGGGGCTAGCTCTGTGTTCTTGTAGTAACTGTATTCTTATACAATTATTGTAAGAGACGAGGCTGTTGCTACTTGGTGAGAAAACAAATCATCTTCTAGAGAATGAGTTAAATAGCTTTTTAAAAACTAACTGGTAGTTATTAAAACATTTTGCCCTGCTTATCAACATTTATTGCTCTTAAATGGAGTTTTTCGTTTTTTGGTGTTTTAAGATGATCTTCTGGTCTACATAGTCTCTTTTATGGATTTTTTAAAAAGAGTGCTCAATGGTTGTTTTTTGCACTTGGATTGTTTAATAGCTTCTTTGGGGTTTGATACTGATCATTTATTTTGGTTTTATGATTTCCAGATATTGTTTTTACTTGCAAGCCAACTCTAGAGGCAGCATATAAATGTGTTAATTCCTTAAATAAAATGAATGAGAGGATAGGTGATTAAAGGAAACACATTTGAAGAATTTCCTTAGCTTCACACTTGCATTTGTACCGTGGAGTGCTGCAAGGGTACAGCTGCTTTCCTTGCTGCTTAAGATTTATGTTGGATTCCTGAATTAGTGTAGTCTGTCATCAATATATTGATGATACCCAATTTTAATATTTCATTTAGGGTTGCCAACCCCCCCAGTTTGCCAGGGGTCCCCCATTTTTTGGGGGGGTTCTACCCGCCGCCGGCCAGATGGCTGGCGGGGGAAGCCCCACCACCCATCTCTCTCCCTTTAAGGGTGTGCAACCCGTGTTTCATCCCAAGCGCGAACTCCGCAAGCTTGCAGGGAAAAGCCAGCTTCGTTCTTAAAAGGGAAACGCAGCTTCTCTTAAAGGGGAAACGCCGTCTGCTGGCTACTTTAAGTGCTGGGAACTGCTGTTTCTGGAGATCCGGCGCACGGCCGGGGGGGGGGGGCAGACATCCCCAACGTGATGTCATCACGTTGGGGATGCCCCACCCCTTCTAGGAACGCCCCCAAAGTCCCCCGCTGGGGGTGGAAGATGGACTTGGCAACCCTAATTTCATTAATGAAGCACTTGTCTTTGTTTAGAGCACATACCTACCCCACAGTCCTGAGTCCCAGGCGGAGTGACTCATCTGGATCTGCATCTAGTATTGTCACCGGTGTTCCCTCTAAGCTGAGTTAGTGTGAGCCAGCTCACAGGTTTTTTTGCCTCCGGCTCACACATTTTTGTCTTCGCTCAGGAAGGACGGCTCCAGAGCAAACTAATTTATGCAGTGGCCAAACTGCTCACTCACAACGTTAACGCCAGTAGCTCACAAAGTAGAATTTTTGCTCACAAGACGCCACAGCTTAGAGGGAGCATTGTCACATATATATATATATATTTACTTAGGAGTGTCCAATATGATTTGCGCTGGTCAGCAGTCTCAACACTCCACAGATTACCATGAAGATGGAAGACATCCTGCCTTACATAGAAAATGGTAAATTCTGCTCAGAGGCACTGCATCAAGGGCAGTGCTGATTTGTTGCAACAGAATTTCTTTATCACTCAGGTGAACAAAAAACACAGCTGAATAAACCAACTCATGATCTACATGAACACCCTGTCAATGTGGCATACCACACATGAACTGCTGAGCATGGTGCAGTGGTTAGATTGTCGGACTAGGATCTGGGAGACCCAGGCTTGAATTCCCACTCTGTCAGGGAAGCTTGCTGGGTGACCTCAGGCTAACCAGTTTCAGTCCGTCTCTCTCACCCATCCACACACACCCTAACCTACCTCGGTGTGGTCGGGAGGATGAAATGGAGGAGGGGGAGAATGGTATAAGGTCCTTTGGGTCCCCAATTTGGGAGAAAAGTGTGGTATAAATGAAACGAACAAAGCTTCTGCAAGCAGAGATAATTTGCTCCAGCAACTTTGGTGTCTATGCCTGGGTGGCAAATTCATGTCTAAATGTTTACATAGGTATACAATTGTTGCCATCTACAAGTAGTTTCTTTCTGAATTTTCAACACCCTTAAATTTCCAGCTTTAACATGCACACTGAAAATAGATTCATGTACTTATACATACCTCTGGCATATGAGAACTCAAGGATACAGTTCTGTCATCTGTTCATTGCAGAGCTTCTGTAGACGTCACTGAAATTTATGGGAGTTCTTTGCAGCCCCTCACTCTAGCCACAGTGCCGATTTTAAAGGTTTCATCAGCCTCTTTTAATTGTTCTTGAATTTAAAAATAACCCTTCACATTCTGGTTATTAAAGCTTTGTAGGTGACATTGGACCAAGAGAAATTCACAAGTTTTGCTTTTTTAAAATACTGCTCAGGAATGCATCGTATCACCTACAAACCACTTAATCTACCACAATCACATTTAAGTTTTTTGAGTGTACACACACAGTTTCAGCCAATCAAAGGGATAAGGATTATGTAAGCAGCTTCTGGTTCATGAAGTTATAGTCCTCAATGAACAGTGGTTAAAGTGTCTGACTACGGTCAAGAAGACCCAGGTTCAGATCCACAGTCTGACATGGAAGCTGGGTGACTTTTGGCCAGTCTCTGAGTGTTTAATCACATCTTAAAGAGTTGTTGTGAAGATAAAATAAAGGGGAGAATGATGCTGTAAGCCAGCTTCCATTGAGGTAAAAAGTGGGGTATAAGTACCAAAAAAACACACACAAATACATTGATGTTGCAGAATTAATAGCTTGTGCTTAAGGCTCACTGACCAGCACACAAGTTTTTAAGGGCAGAGGTATAGCAGAGGTGCCTCCACATTTAGAAGTTACATTACCTTCTGAGCGCGGAACACACAAATCTGCCTTATACGGAATCAGACCCTTGGTCCATCAAAGTAAATATTGCGTACTTTGATTGGCAGTGGCTCTCCAGAGTCTCAGGTAAGGGTCTTTCACATCGCCTCACACTTGATCCTTTTAACTGGAAGTGACACGGATTGAATCTGGGACCTCCTGCATGCAACTTTACTGCTCATACCACTGAGCTATGGTCCCTCTCCCTTATGTTGGTGTTGCTGACAAATATTCTCTTTCAAATGTCTACACGCCTGAAGTGTAAATATATGAAGGGAAAAATATTATATGGGGTTAAAAAGAAGACATGGAAACTTACGTCAAACGAGACTGAGGCAATACTGGTTAGCAAGACTGTGGCCCTGAAGAGAGATGTGTTGCCTACTCTTGTTTGACTCAGTGGTACCCAAACAGCAGGTTGGGACAGTGGCAACAAGTGCCTTCCTTCAGTTCCACCCAGTTCAGAAGTTGGCTCCCTTCTTGGACCTAGATACCGTAGTCCCACCGATCAACGCAACAATACACTCAACTCTGGATTACTAGGATAGACTATATAACACTACCCTGAAGATAAGCGCAAGATGTGGTAGCTTGCTTGCAAGCGGGCTGTTACCCATACACAGGGCCCATTTAGAAATTGTTACATTTGCTGCCAGTAGGTTTCCGAGTTCAATTTGATGAGCTTTTATTTATTTATTTATTTATATTTGAATTTATATCCTGCCCTACCCTGAAGGCTCAGGGCGGCTAACAAGGGCACCACGTGCCGAGGCTAAAACAGTAAACACATACTTTAAAAACAATAAATTACAATAAAATACAATAACAAATTTACAAGCAGAATTAGACAAGATGGTTAGATCTTAACTTCCAGCACTACTTCCTAAGATCTTATCATCTAAGCCGTGCCCAGGTGCCTCGCTCCCCCCTTGGGGAGCCAGGCAATCATGATGTTAATACGCCAGAGCATAGGGGGCAAAGGTGGACTAGTGGTGGCGGCGGCTCCTACTCAAAGGCCTGGCGGAAGAGCTCCGTCTTGCAGGCCCTGCGGAACTGAGAGAGGTCCCGCAGGGCCCGGATCTCTTCCGGGAGCTCCTTCCACCTTTTAAAGCTGTTTGTGTTCCTGTGCATGTATGTGCCATCAAGTCACAAAACCACTTATTCTGACCCCAGAAGCAGAGGTTGTTTGCCATCACCTTCTTCTCCAGAGTCCTCCCAGGTGGTTCCCCATTCAAATATTGACCCTGCTTATCTTCAAGATCTGATGAGCTGTGGCCAGGCCACATCATACCATTCCACATTCTACCTGTGATCCTAGGGCCCACATATTGCAGAGACATCTCTCCCCAGTTTTAACCTTTGTGACAACTTCCTTCCTCAGACAAAGGTCCATTAGTTGTCCCCTCAATGGCAGGTCAGCCGCTGCTAGGAAGCGTTCTCAATGGCTGCTTCTAATGTGTGGCACCGTCTTTCTGAGGATGTCAGGAAGCTACACCACTTTAAGATTATCCACAGTGGAATTATTCACGAGGGTTTCTGATACAGACACCTAAATATGTCCAAGATTTTGCATAGCTATAATTAACTGGTACAGTTTCCAATTATTTGTTTTCATTCGTTTGTATTGCCACTGTAACCTGCCTTGAGTCCAGTGGGGGGGAAAAGGTGGGTTAAGAACGTTCTGAACAAAAAATATGAAGCTCAGTATGAGAGACTTTTTACCGTCAAGTCAAACTCCCAGAAAACCTCAAAAATGCTAATAATACATTTATACGATCACATAATATTATCATATTGAATCTACTTGTGGAATAGAATTACACAGGCGTTTCACTCAAATGTTTCAATTAAAATGAATTTCTGTAGTTTTTAACACATAAATTATATTCTTAGGTACATATGTTTTCTTTTAAAAGAAGGAGCAAGACATGCTTCAAAACAATATTTTTAATAGACACAATAAAATGCTCCATTCATTTATGCTTGAAGACCCTCCTACATACTTAAAAATATCTCCATTGCATACGTAGTCACTACATACATAATCTAGCCCTCAGGTCCATTCACAAAAAGCAGTTCTGTATTTACATTCTGAAGGAATGGTATAATACATAATTAAACTTACTATGGGTAACAGACTACTAATTTCCATCTGCAAAGTAAAAAATGTATATTAAAAAGTTGACATTTGCACTACAAAGGGACAGACTGCACATATACAGCAAAAGGAAATGCACCCGCTGGTTCAAACAGCATTCTAGCTCCCACATAATCATGTATGTATCTGCACACCCATTGTCCATGGTATACCCATACAGAACCTTAAGCCATTTAGACTATCTGCTTCATGTTTCAAGAGACTTTGGAGAGCCATTCCTTTCGCTAGAGTTCATTCCGACAGCACAGCGTTCACATAAAATGGGCAAAGTCACTATCTTTGGACCACCTAAGCAAAAACAGAGTTTTCCCAACTCTGTAAACTGGTAACTTAAGCTACATGAAATGCAGAGCCAGGTAAGCCTTAATTAGGTATGTTCAGAGTCCTGCTCCAAGAGCTAAGAAAAGCAGGAGACTTAAATAACCAACTAGCGGCCTATAGAAAGTGTCCAATCAAGAATGATCAGCCATTTCACAGCAGCTTTTAATTTAAGGATGTCTGTACTGTAAACTAAGATACCACTGCATCTCTCATATTCTGGATTTAAAGACAATTTCCCCAACATTTAATTCCTTTCCTCAAAATGAAGCGAATCTAGAAAACATCACAACCAAAACAGCTACCTGTAGGCTATGAAAAAAAACCTTATGTTTTTAATTAAAGATAAAACTGTTTTGATGTCAGGGAATCATCAATAAATTCCATGTCCTGAAATAGCTTCCTACTGTGCTGCTTTTTATTCCTCTAAGAATTCAGAGATGTGTTTATTCTTCAGGAAGTTTGAGATTTCAAGATTAGCAAAGACAATGAATATTTCATCAAAGCGTACCTGAAACTGAGGTAGTCAAGTTCTACTCAGTTATTTGTTCTATTGTGGGAAATGTTTATTCATCTGCACAGACAGACACATAAGTCATGTAACGACCTACCTAATGTATATTAAGAATAAGCTGCCGTACTTTGTGAATATACGCATCTATCATCTTCTAAACTGGTCCTTCGACCAGCAGCCCCCAGAATCCAGACAGTCATTTTAAAAACTGTTGGGGGGGGGGGAGCGGGCAGAGACGCCATCTCTGAGATAACACTGGTAGGTCCCATTTCTTGCCACAATACGATCATGTAATCGTTCAGTAACTTTAAAAGGGGTACTGTATGACCGTACCCGGTCTTCCAGAATTTCTCATACTAATGCAGAAGAACGAGCATCTAAATGTAAACATAGGATTTCTTTATGCACAGAAGTCAAAGTCAGTTCTCACATTTCAGGCTTATCAACAGCTAGCATGTTCCCAGGCATAACTAGAATTTCAGAGTAACACAATTACATTTTCACTTAAACATCTACATACAAGAGCTCTGGAGGGTAAAACATACGAATGCTCTCTGAATACAGTGCACTGCAGTCACCAACATAATATAGTATGACTGGCAAGACCATTTCAAGCCATTTCTCCAGTTCACTAAATTTTCAGACAGATTTCACTAATGTCCAACAGAAGAGGAATTATGGCTTAACTCAAGTTTTACAACACAAATTCATACATCAACACAGGTATGAATGCTTATATAAAAGTTAACCATAACATTGACACAGTGCAATTGTTTTACTTCAAGACAAATAACAAGAAAAGAATATTCAAGTATAAAAGCATCTTGTAAGGACGCTAGTTAAATTCCATTATTGCACAAATACCTTTTTCATCTGTAGCTCCTAATATTCTCAGATTATTTGATTTCACAGAACTGTTTCATGCCAATTATTAAGATGTACATCTGTTCAAATTTCCAGAGTGTTTATGTTTAAAGCATTTCTTAACTTTCATATTTTATTGCTATTTCTATTTCGTCCACTCCCCCCACCCCTTATTTAAGGCTAAGCAGGGCTTGTACAACAGAAGTAGGGCAATTATGTAGTGCATATTTACGTAATATACCCAGGGAGGAGATCTGCTCAACACTATCACATTCTTAACCTTCTCATGCTGCAGACAGGCAACAGTTTACTGCCTGTGGCTGATTTGCAGAAACCCTCATCCTAAAAGCATAGATAACTTTAAGGGGGGGAAATCTAATAGGCACAATAACTGGATTCCACTCTCATGAAAAAAGTTTCCAATTTCATTTAAAGGCTCTAACCCCAATACTGACCAGTCTACTGTCATTGTACACATTATGAAAGAGAGGACAAAACTAAAGCATTTAGATTTTTTTAAAACAAAAACAGCTTTTTAGGAGCACTCGCGGCCTACAGAATCTTAGTCACCATCCATGAATCAGAATGATCAGTAGCACCAGGCGCCACTTCTTCTAGCCTAAGATGAGACTTACTTGTATCAGCTTTAAGAAAGTATCATCACCACTACTAGAGTCCCTGAGGGTCTTGGGGAACAGGTTATTGTACAGGTCGTTCACATCCGGGTCTATGGATAGTCCAACAGCTTCTTGGTGGTATAGCTATTAACCTGTGTGGTTAAAAAAATTTAAGTCTGCCTATACCCAGCATAGGAGCTGCGGTGGCTCAAGTGGTTAAGACACTGAACTGCAGGCTGTGGAAGGTCGGTAGTTCAGCAGTTCGAGACCCTGGTGCCGCATGATGGGGTGAGCTCCCGTCTCTAGTTCCAGCTCCTGCCAACCTAGCAGTTCGAAAGCAAGAAATTGCAAGTAGATCAATAGGTACCACTTCGGTGGGAAGGTAACAGCGTTCCGTGCGCCTTGGTGTTTAGGCATGCCGGCCACATGACCACGGAAACGTCTTCGGACAGCGCTGGCTCTTCGGCTTTGAAACGGAGATGAGCACCGCAACCCTAGAGTCGGACTCGACTGGCTTTCGAGCAAGGGAACCTTTACCTTTTTTATACCCAGCATAATCATTGAAGTGAGAGGTTCTTTTGTTCATGAATGACCAAACTAGGTTACTTGGCAATAGCAGTCATCATTTTGGCCCAGCAGTATCAATATGGTGTTCCAGATTTATAGTTCTTGTCAATATGAAATGTTTCCCATCACTACATTATGTTGTCTCCAATCACAAGACTGTCATTTCACTCTGTTTGGCCAATCCACCCAAGGGATAGGAGATCATCAGGATCCTATAGCCTTACCAATATTTGGGGATGGGCTGAATGGAAAGAATAAAAGGCCAGTATTGTGAAGTGAACATTCATTTAACAAGGGCTCTCCATTTCTTCAAGGTATCTCGTAACAAACATTTACAGCCCAATTTTAAACATGCCTACTCTGAAATAAGTTCAGTGGAAGTCATGTCCTAGCGAGCATGCTTGGGGTTGCAGTTTCAGTGCATCAAGAGTTACAACACAAGAGTCAAAACTTAAGCGTTCTTTACTAAGTGACATGGGAAAAATATTTCCATTACTCAGAAATATCAAAAGTGCATGGTGTGTAGCTGTCGAAAAGTTCACTGATATTCTGAGCAGCAGAGATTCCAGAGACAAAATAGCCTCAAATCACCGTAGCATAATTACAACCGTAGTTCAGTTCTTTTTGGATAGAACTGCGAGACTCCATAAACTCTTATGAATCTTAGCAATCATGGCAACTGATTTTTACATGGCTTTTGACTAAAAGCAACTCTGAGGTATATCTCTGTCTAAGGATTCTACGAAGATCCTGCTAAAGTCTCAGAGGATTCGATGTAAAGAATGTTCCAAAACCAGTGGCAGCAGAAAGGCAATTCACCTGGTAAATTTGTTTCCCCAAATTAGTTAGCAGTGAGAAAATAAAACTTTAAATTATGCCTGGCACTTGAGATGACACTTTAAAACTTTGCCTCTTTCTTAGCCGAGAGGCTGTTGACCAGCACACCCCAGCTGCACTACTTGCCATGAGGTAGATGGAGAGGAGATCTCTCTTCTAGACCGCAGCCTTTGAGATATGCTGCGCTGTTGCAGTGCATTCTAGGAATGCAACGTGACTGTACGGCAACTTGGGAGCACAGGTTAACTCCACGCACACAGAAGAAACCCTGCCAGGAGTGGAAGTAAGTTTGCCATCAATAGCCATAGGGTTACTACCAGGCTGGGAGAACAGGAGCACAGATCTAAAATAAAATATAAAAAAAAACCATGAAGAAAGTCAAAACATTTTAGTACTTTTATAGATGCTGTTCACATAAGAACCCAAGAACTTAACTGGAGCCATACTACAAATGACCCATGTAGTTAAACATCCAACTTCACATAAGAGTCAACCAGATGCCTTCACAAGACCTGCAAGCAGGTGGGGTATCGTTTGAGGGAAAGAAGAGGCAAATGAGATGCTAATTTTCTCTGAAGTTTGACTTTTGATTCTTATTATTTAGCCGTTCTTGTGCATGGTTCTTTACTGAGTCAGAATACCTGGACTTGAATTATTTAAGCAATGTTAACGATCACCTACAATGTAACAAATTACTCTTTTATTTTATTCAAAGCTATTTTATTGTAAGCATTATATGACCCCCCACCTCTTGGGTTTTTAGTGGTTTATCTTTACTTTCTCCCGTAGTTTATAGTTTCCCCTTCCCTATTTTTCTTGTAGGTTTTAGAAAAAAAAAATGAAGAGAAAAAAAGACCTACAAGCAAGGCATGCAAGCCCAAGTTTCCCTCTTCTGGCCCCCCCCCCCCCCCTACATAGGTCCCCCCCATATTTAGAGGGTTACTGCTTTGGGACTAGGTTTAGGGACTCTTCCAAAAATACCAGTTCACCACATTAGAGATGGGAAAGTAGAACTGTTGGGCTACATGATAAATCTAACCTTCTGGGCTCTCATTTCGACATCTCTGCTTTTGTGGCATGAATTAATTTTCACATCTGTATTTTTAGGGACCATATATTTTGTAGGGACCGTATTTTGCCAGGCTTAAAATAATTACTGCCAGTTGTCCCGTGAGCTCAATTCAGAGTGCTGGCTCTTACCTTTAAACCCTAAATCAGGGGGTGTCGAACATAAGGCCCAGGGGGCGGAACCGGCCCGCCCAGGGCTCTTATGTGGCCTGCAAGCAGCTCGTGCAAGGGAGGGAACAGAAGACTGCTTGGGGGGAGTGGGGGGAGCCTCTCCGATTGTGGCTTCAGCATGGCAGAACAACCTCGCCTGCAGCAGCGGTCAAGCAGCATGGGAGCGTCTGCCCAGTGGTGCACCGCTGGCTCTCCAGTCTGCACATGTGGGTTTTCCTTTGCAATGGGGCCTTGCAGTGAGGATACATGAACTCGGAGCCTACCAGCTGCTGTCCTTTATACAGTGTATATCTCTGGTACTTGACATTGTATTTATGGCACACATAGTCTGGCCCGACACAGTGAAATTTATGTCAGATCAAATCCTCGTTGCAAATAGGGTTGCCAAACCCTCCGGTTTGCCAGTGATCCAACCCTCGTTGCAAATGAGTCTGACACCCCTGCCCTACATGGTCCAAGGGAGTGCCCATTCATTAAGCAACTTACTGAAGGGCCTGCTCTATATTCCTCAATCTTTTCAACTAAGGTAGGTGGCCCCTAGAGGCAGGGCCAGGTTATGACACCTCAGCTGCAGAACTTCCATGTAAGTCTTCACTTGGCACAGAGATGGTTGAATTTTCTGTACTAGATGACATTTTTGCTTAACAAGGTCATTTGGATGATGTTTCTTTCACCCAACATCATCACTGGTCTGCTAATTTATTTTTTGCAGCTGCTGTTGTCCTGCTTTTGACATTTTAATGTGAATTTTAGTATGTGAATAAAGTTCTGTACTGCATGTAATTTTAAATGTTTTGCTTTTAGTTTTTTAAATCATAGTAATTTGCTACTTACAAACCACTTCAATAGTTGACTGGACTGAGTATGGGGCATTTAATCAATAAATGGTGAAAGAACATTAGAGCTACACAAAGCCCAATTAGGTTCTGGATCTAATTAACCAAAGCCCATATAATTGCAGCTACATAAAAGCTAGATTCAACCTGTAGAAGTATGGAAGCTTTCAATTTTGTTTAGCAATATTTTACGGATTATTCTGATTTTGCTTACCAATAGGTGCAATTCTTGATAAGTTAACAACGGGAGAAGGGTCTTTCTCAGGCGGACAGAAGTCACAGAAGTCTGTACAAGCTGGGCAAATCAGATTTCCAATGTGTGCCCATCCATTCATCTGAATATTCACAGTCAGCACTTGACCTGAACGACTGCATACGTATGCTACGTCCTTAACCCAAACAGTCAGCCCTTGGGGAGAACAAGAAACCTTAAAAAAAAAAAATCAGACTCATAATGCTTATGAAGTAGACCATACACAGATGTAATCAGGTTGTTAAAGAACAACAAACAATCCCATCTCTGTGACACTTGAGTTGGACAAAAAGGAAATCAAGCAAGATGGAAGATAATCTGATTGCTGAAATCCCTTATCTTTGCCAAAAGACTCATGGGGGATTAACTCCCCACTTCAAATCCAAGGATCATGGACATGTGCTACCCTCATGCTGTTGGAAAATAGCAATTAGTACAGCTAATAAGCAGCCTTTTATGCACTTCTGAATAGGCATGTGTGAGGCAAAGCACCCTAATTTCACCAAGAGTTAACGCAAATAACAGTACGTCTGCTTCAGCTTGCAGGTGTTCCTAATTTAGGGATGTGCATTCCAAACTCGCAGGGTAGTTGCTGGGCCTCTCCCCAAGATACCCACCAAGCAATAGCCCATAGGATAGAATGGGGCCGAAATTGACATTCAGCTGGCCGAATGACTCCCGAATCAGCTTGCACTGCTGAAATTGACATGCAGGAGTCTTTCTGCCAGCCAAAATTGATTCTGCCGGATTCGGCCGAATCCGAATCAGGCCGATTTTTATTTTTTTTGCACACCCCTATTCTAATTGGACTTTCTCTTAGACACTGTCTCTATCTCTTTCAAGGCCAGATTTTAGAATGCAGTAATTGGCTAAATGTAAAAACCTGTGCTCAGTTCAATAACTAGATGGGAGCGGGGAGCCAGGAGCAAGTTGCATCATCTTTTGGAGGGCTCCAGAAAACAAGCGCCCTGATTGGATTCCAAAGACCGTCCAATGCCAGAGGGCAAGAAACTTCAGGGACCCACTGCTTGCTAGTTTGTGAGGCAGTGGCTCAGAGGGACCCAGGCTCGGGTTCCTTGACAGCACCTTAATATTCTCAGCATTTCGACGTATATTTCACCAACAGAAGTATATAGCTGTCTTGGATTCAAATAACAAAAACTGCACAACAGAATACACTGAGGTTGTTTTAAGTGATATATAGGAATGACAACATTTCACAGCTTTTCATGATAATATTTAGGTTTAACAATACCAAAATTCTGTTTTACCATAGATGGTCAGAAGATACATTCCCAAAATGCTGAGAGTTACTCATGATACATGGCAAATAGGAAAAGCACTGGATCTTTCCCAAATTGCTTCCCCAAACTTAAACAGAAGATAAACAATTCTTTCTGCTATTTGTCAACCTTTTTGGCTATCATAGCAAATCACCCATAAGATGGTTACAAAATGGAATATCCGACTAGCTCCCAAGGGCATCTTAGCAGCAAACTTCCACTACCAGTATACATAAACAGATTAGGAGAGGGACATATCTGTTCAATTTATTAGCCAGTTAATAGTCTGACCCTTTCATACAGCAACATGGGTAGTGCAGTCCAACGCAGACCTCAATGTATATAACTCTGTTTAGGATTATACTGTAAAACTCCTAAATAGTAAATGATAAATATTAGAATTCAAACACACTAAAAGGATGTCAAAAGCAAATTTGATGAAGGCACTGCTTAAATTACTTTATCTTTCTGGCAAACATACATTTTAAGTGGAAATAGACATCTGCTGATTTTACGCTTATGTGGACAGTATCTCTGAAGAAGCACATATCTTGCACCAACACAGTACAACCTGCCAAACTTTACACAAGTCAGTATATCCCATGCAAGTGAATAATTCACGACACTGGAACTGAAATCCAAAAGTAACAGCCAATTTAATTCAGCACTAAATAGGAATGATAACTCGCTTGTCGTTTGCTATCCAGAACTGCAAATTACTACTAGGCTCTCAAGAGGGGGGGAAAGTACTATGTAAATGGTATCCTGAATTGGCATTTGGGGAAAGGAAAGCACAGAAAAGATTGACATATGTTAAATTTTTGGGGTAGCTTGATACATGAGATCTGTTTGTTGCCAATTGCTTATTTGACAGTTCTTCATTGCTTTTTTTCCACCAGGGGAATGGAATCCTCTAGTCATGCCTTAAAAAGGTAAAGGTTCCCTTGCTCGAAAGCCAATCGAATCAGACTCTAGGGTTGCGGTGCTCATCTCCGTTTCAAAGCCGAAGAGCCAGCACTGTCCGAAGACATTTCCGTGGTCATGTGGCCGGCATGACTAAATACCAAGGCGCACGGAACGCTGTTACCTTCCAACTGAAGTGGTACCTATTTATCTACTTGCAATTTCTTGCTTTCGAACTGCTAGGTTGGCAGGAGCTGGAACTAGAGACGGGAGCTCACTCTGTCATGCGGCACACTCGGGTCTCGAACTGCTGAACTACCAACCTTCCACAGCCTTACCATTTAGTAATTACAATAGTCCACGAACATAGCACAAAGGAACACATTAGATAGTTAATCCTGAACCATTTTCATATGATGCAAACTTGCAGACTTAATATGTCCTGCAGTTACCTGATAGCATCCACTACCCCAATCAGGGTAACTAAGTTTCTTTCTGCACTGTTCCATAACAAATGCTGACTTCTGAATAAGACACACGGAATCTGGTCCATACTTCTCTGCTCCATAGTTTTTGAAAGGGTCTAAAAAACATATATACAAATGTCTTCTGAGTTTATTTTAACAGCAAATTCATAAGAAGTTAAAGCAAATATTAACTCAAAATCACAACCAAAGTCAAAGGAAAATGGCTTTTAAAATGGCTTTGTCAATGTTACTCTGTGGCACTTAGTATGATTTGTCGCTGGCATACTTTCTGAGCAAGATCAATATGGAGGGAATCATTTTATGATTACAGCAATTATACACACACACACACACACTGGGCTCTTCTTGTAGCAGGAACTCCTTTGCATATTAAGGAGACACACCCCTAATGTAGCCAATCATCCAAGAGCTTACAGAGCTCTTCTTACAGGGGCAGTGAAAGGTGAAGATGCAGGGGTTGAAGAAGAAAAAGAGGAAATAATGTGGGGAGTGGGATACAGGGGAAAGTGAGGTGTCCTCCAAGTCCTTGCGGGTTCTCTATTGTGGAGGAGAGGAGGAGGAGCAGATTGGATTTATACCCCGCCCTTCACAACCGAAAGGTGTCTCAGAGCGGCTTACAAACTGCTTTCCCTTCCCCTCCCCACAACAGACACCCTGTGAGGTAGGTGGGTCTGAGAGAGCTCTTGACAGAAACGGCTCTTTTTCAAGAACAGCTCTTATCAGAACTACGGCTTGCCCAAGGCCATCCAGCAGGTGCAAGTGGAGGAGTGGGGAATCAAACCTGGTTCTCCCAGATTAGAGTCCGCGCACTTAACCACTACACCAAACTGGCTCTCTATTGTGCAACTGAACAGAGAGAACTTTGCCATAATGAAAATACAGATTTCCAAATGTCACCTGCTATTCTCTTGTTCATATACCTCCCCAACCCCAACATATATCTCTCTCAAAATAAATCTACCCTAAATGGCTAATATTTCTGGAAGGAGGGGTATGGAAAAATACTACCAAAAATAAAGCAAACACAAAAGTGTTTTTTTCAAAAAACAGTGCGTTTTCAGCACCTTTCTAGAACTCCTCAAAGGGAGATCCATACACAAAATCAACTGACCTGGTTGGTTTTCAAATATTCTGCAATCGGAACTGCGCTGAAATTCACCACTCAAATGCCAACTGAATTCTTGGCTGAAAGGACAGTAGTCAGCAATTTCTACTGAACCCCCAAAATAAGGCAACTCTTCTGGCATTACTCCATCCAGGCTGTCAAAGTACTACAAAAAGAAAAGGGGGGGGGGAGAGAACAGAAGTGATTTTCATGGCAAGAGCAGCGCTAGCCTATCATGACTGACTGCCAGTATTAGTAGGAAAACATAACCGTCAATACAACTTCCTGGAACCAGGGATAACCAGAGCACGCAGCTACATTATTGTAGCCATTTTAGCACCAACAGGATTGCTCGATGCTGTGTGGGAAAACAGACACAACATTGAATGTGTGCGAACAAGGTTGTGCCGACGTGACTTGAAACAGCATGCTGCGCTTGGCCAGTGAGTTGGATCCTTCCCAGTACTTGGGCCATCAGTTTTTAATTTCAAGCAGAGCTATTTTGGGGCAGGAACGCACAGGAACAGAGTTCCGGCTGGCTCCCAAGTTGGCCACGCCCAGCAGGAACTCATTAGCATAATAGGCCACACCCAACAGCAGAAACTCATTCGGATTGGCTACAATTAGGGGTGTGTGGCTTAACATGCAAAAGGCCCTGGGTTTTGACAACAAACAAGGTAAAGAGAATAAGAAGCAAAAGGTGGGTGTGGCTGGATGACCACACATCTGGTAACATGGGGTGTTGCCTAATATGCAAATGAGCTGTGCTGTCAGGGGTGTGGCCTAATATGCTAATGAGATCCTGCTGGGCCCTGATTTCAAGTATCATAAGTGTAGAGCTAAATCTATACGTGGGAATCCTATAATGGGTAGAATGTCTTTATGATGCTGCACACGACTGTTTTCAGTCCGCCTACACTATGCCCCTTCTTTTCCCATTTCCGTGCAATGCAAAAGTTGAAGTGAATCTATCTGATGACGTGGCACCGGAGAGAGGGTAAGCAATACACTTTGTTTCATGAAGCTTATCCCTTATACCTGATATTCTTGAGGCAGCTCCTGCGGGAACTTCTGTAAGTTGCACACTGCTACCGCCCTTTTGTCCTGCCTGCAGGTTAGCTGCAATGGATTACTCCGCAGTGTGTCACAATATGGGGCCACCTCTTCTTTCCTTTAAATTAAACACGCAACTGTTAAAAGCAACTATACATCAACAGCCTCCCCCCCCCCAAAAAAACCCCCACCACTAGCCATCCAAACACAGATTGGGGCAATTAAGTACCATTAGCTAGAGGTATAACCATGTATCCTCAGGAACTGCATTCTTACTTTTTCCGCTTTTGGTCAATCCAAAACTTACAACTCTTCATCACGAAGTCACAGCCTTTACCTTGGCCCCAGTCTAGTTTTTCTGCCATGCTGTAGTTGGCTTTATACCAGCTGCAAAGATACGTTGAAATTGAAACATTATTTGAGCTTGCACTCCTGAGTGGTAGACAAGAGATTCTTTCAAAGATCTTAACTGGCATGCATTAAATGCCTTAAGGAAACAATATATTCTACATGTTAAACATCTTGTAACTTTATAGGCAGATATTAAAACTGTAGCACACATGAGTATTCCTACATCAGGGGAATATAAGGTTCCAAGGCTCAGTCCCCCCACCCCCGTTGCTTTTGAATTATATCTTATTTATGCTATTTTTGGCAACTTAAAAAACAAAACACCACCAACACAACCTCCCCTCCTTTCACTGAAAGTATAAGCGATTCAGATGTGGATGTGTCTTTGGTAGTAAACTCCCCAACCACCACCACCACCACCACCACCACCACCAAAATGGCTCAGGTCTATCCAAGGCCATGTTTGCAGCCCTGACTGTAGCTCTACCCCTAGTTTCTTTCATTCTGTATCAGCACAGTAGCAGTGAAAAGCCTTGCTGTTTGGGGTAATTATGTAGTACCTGCCACTGCTTGTTCTGGTGACTGTTTAGCGCTCAACCGCACAACAGATAGAACATGCTGAGGTTAAAAGCAGGAAAAAGAAACTTTGGTTTCAGATTGCCGTGCTAGAACTCAACACATACCCCAGTCAAGGCACAGGGTGCAGGGCTATTTTTGGGCAGGAACGCACAGGAACGGAGTTCCAGCTGGCTCCTGAGTTGGCCACGCCCAGCAGGAACTCATTAGCATAAGAGGCCACACCCAACAGCAGAAACTCATTAGGATTGGCTACATTAGGGGTGTGTGGCCTAACATGCAAAGACGTTCCTACTACAAAAAAAGCCCAGAGTTTTGACAACAAAGTAAACAGAATAAGCAGCAAAAGGTGGGTGTGGCTGGATAACCACACTTCTGGTAACATGGGGGTGTGTGGTCTAAAATGCCAATGAGCTGTGCGATCGGGGGTGTGGCCTAATATGCTATAATGAGTTCCTGCTGGGCTTTTTCTACAAAAAAAGCCCTGACAGGGTATAAGATCCAAATCAGATGAACACGTGAAGCTGTCTTATACCAAACCAGAACACTGGTCCACCAAGGTCAGTACTGTTTACTCAGACTGGCAGCAGCAGCTCTCCAGGTCTCAGGCAGAGGTCTTCATCTACTACCTGATCCTTTGAACTGGAGATTCCAGGAACTGAATCTTGGATCTTCTGCATGCCAAAATGAAATGATAAAAATGCTGTGAATGTATGTTCCAGCAGTTTTCTTTAAAGAGAAGGCATGCATAGGTCTGATTCAGATAATGGCCCTGGAACAAAAGAAGTGAGAATTAAGCCTCTTCCCCTATTGTCATTTTCCTGCTCTGAAAAGGTCCTGTGGAGCTGCTGTTTGTCCAGGTGGGGCAAACATACAGGGACCCATATCAGTACCTGAATACTTCTCTGTAATGGGGCAAGTAGCTGCCCTGTGGGGCTGTTTGCTACATATTGGGAAAACATCAAAGGGAGGGGGAAAGGTCACGGCCTCTGTTACCCAAAGAGGCAATCTCCTAATTAGTTGGGGGGAATTAGCTTTAAGGAGACAGAGCAAGAGGGGGTAACTGGGATTCACCTATGTTTACAGTGATTTTTCCCTTAAGAGAACTCTTGAAATAAACCAGGCAGATGTTCAACCGGAAAAGCTTTTTAATAAAGAGAATGAATATAACAAAATGCACAAAATAAACACACGTACAAGAGCTAAGTAGGAGAAACTCAGGGAGGAGAGGGAGAAGTGATTTTAGGGACGCCGATAATTATCACTCTCGAAGAAAAACGTCCGCAGAAGCAGCAAAACGACCAGCGTTTTGTGGAGAAAAGAAACCCAACAAAGTGGCGGTGTGCAAGAGGATCCAAATCACACACACACTGCACCAGTGGTAGGGTGCTCCTGATATAGCGGCACACTGGGGCAAGCTGACATATTTGCCCAAAAAACAGTAACTTGATGGAGAGGCTTGATGACCATACAAGTACTGGATAAGAAAGCTAATGGGTTTGGTGAATAGAATTGATTCAGTGGAGCTTAATTAAGGTAAGTGGATGCAGAAGAAGTAAGGTTGGACTTGAGGGGATTAGTCCAAAGGTGAGTTAGCAGATCTTGGGAGACCCATTATCCCATAGTTATGCATCTCTCCAGGTTGTGGAGGGGACAGTAAACAGTCACCTGCTCTTACACTTCCAAAACACTTGCCCTGGCTTGTTTCTGGCATCCAGTTTGTTTCATTTTGGTCCAGGCAGTGTCCTGTAGATATGATTTTGGGGGTGATATATTAAGAAGGGTGTTTCTGCCTCTCTAAGCGATAAACGGCCCCTCTGCGAGAGGAGGGGTCTGACTGCTTACAATTTCCCCCAATGAAGGAAATAGGTCTTAGGCATATGACTTTGTTAACTTAAATGGAGAGGAAAATAGGATGGGGCACCCAGGAAAAGCGAGAAAAGAGGAGAAGGGGACAAGGAGGACAGGGAAGGAGTAAGATGAAGAGGGTCATCAACTAAAAAACGTGTTCGGGCAAAAACTAAAATGAGCCAGATCAAAAACCAAAGATCTTTTTCTTTCCTGAATCTAAGATGCTTTTCTGCGAACTGGGGTCAATGGAAAGAGAAGGCTTCCCTATCTACATGATCAAATTAAATACAAACGAAATGCAAATAATAAAACAACCAAATGGTGAAGCAATAGATAAATGAATCAAATCAAGCCATTTGACTCAATCATGAGGCAAAGGAATTAACTAAATGATAAAGCAAATGATTGGAACAAGTAAAACATTGACTTAAAGGAAGGGTTCAACGTAACTAAAACAACAAATCCGTAAACGTTATGCATACGAAAATCATACGCAAACATAAATATATAAACAGACAATTTGTGTGAAAGAGGTTTTGACAATAATAATAATAATGCTTTTGATTTATTAATCGCTTTCCCCACAAGTGGGCTCAAAGTGATTTACAGTTACTCTTTAGACAGGGGACTAACAATGTTTTTCATAGGGGATAGGGAAGACAACATATAATTCATTTAAGTTGCACACGCCGTACTGCCCGGTGGAAACGTTTCTGGCTTGACTCAGTCATGTTCCAACAGCTGCATCGCCACACTGCCACCGCCTGGCC